CAACCCACAGTAAGAAATACGTTTACATCATGACCCACTGTGACCACATGGTACATGCACGCACACACAAATACACATCCGATAGATACATATAGACATCCATGTATGAAACAGAAGGGTCCCAAAACATGAGATACACGTCCATGTTTTCTCATTTTTCCTACTTAGATGTTGTTAAATGTCACAAACCACGAAGTTGAGCGCGTGGCCACCTCTAATGCTGTTCAGCCCACAATTTGAGAAATAGTGTGCTACAGCCACGAGTATTGAAATGACTGGAAATGGCCCAACACATGGCATCCAATACCCTAGTCTAAGGCAGTGATTCCCAACTGGGGATGATTTTGCCTCTCGGAGGACACACAGCAACGCCTGGAAACATCTTTGATTGTCACCAAAGAGGTACCTGGGAGTGCTGGAATGCTGCTAAACACTTTACAGTGTGCAGGACAGCCCCCCACAACAAGGAATCAGCAGTCCAAAATGTCAGTAGTGCCAAGGTTGGAAAACCCTACTCTAAGGGTAATAAAATGAGTTGACACTTCTAATCTACTGTAAACCTGTCCGGAATGGTAGGAGCTGTAACCTGATCTTCTTTTACTCTCTCTTTTTCTTTGAACTGTATTTGGTACATTAAAGTGATGTGGAAGTGTAATTGCCCTTGGGTTGCCCACAGACGTAGCCGGGTGGATAAAAAGGGTATGAGGAATAAGTCTCTTGTTTTCTTTCATCTGGACTGCACCAGGCATTTTTGTTAGAAGATTGTTACTGCTGTTAGGAATATTTTCTGTGTTATGACTTCGCGGACCTCCCCATTAGACCAACTAATTCAGGGCCCCTTCTCACTTAGCCATAGCAGCTCTTAGGAAGGAAGTGAAGGGACCGTGGCTAATTAGATTAGACATGGTCCCTATAAAGCTTTCTCCCCCTACTCATGAGATTTGATTCTGTTGTTTTGATGGGAAATGACCTTCTGCTAACCTTGAGGTGCCATCTTAAGCCCTAGCATTAAACTGTCTCCTTTTTAGCCACTGCTTCATTCCTCTATCTGTAGTTATTTCAGACCAGGTTCTTGTGAACACGGACTAGACATTCACTCCCAGTGTAGTGGAGAGCCCTAATCTCCACGTCCTCCCTCCTTCCATGTCTGGCATCAAGAGAAGCTCTTGGACATCTCAGTGTCAATCTGCTGTTGCTTTTTTCTCATTTTATTGGCTATTTCTGGGCCCACTAGTAAGGCTGCCTGACAGAACAGACCTGGTTTGGCTTTTTTCCTTCTTCTCCTAATGGGGAAAAAAGGTAGGACGGTAGAAGGAGATAGCTCTGAATCAAATATCAGAACTGGAATAGTAGTAGAAAATAAAACCAATGCTATTTGTGGCTATTCTCTACCGTATTTATTTTAGTGTAGTTATCTCATGAGTATTGAATTACATAACAATAACTTTTGTATTTGGTAAATGAATTCTTATAAATAATTTACAATAAATCAAGGGATGTGTGTGTGTGTGTCCACCTTGAAACTTTAGATTTCTGTGAGCACATAATAGTAAAAAAAAAAAAAAAAAAGATTTCTGTGAGCACATAATAGTAAGGAGTACCAGCAGATTCCAGAAATTTATAGTGGCAAAGCGCCTGTGGTACGTTGGACTTCAGACACATGCATTCCATTCCTTTTGCTTCAAGAGAGCTATAGGGACACAGATTTCTTTTTAACTTTCCCACTTGTAGGTTAAGAATAGAAAGACAACACGTGGAATAGAGAGATGAAGGGAACTAATAAGAAGCTAAGGCGTCAGTCTCTTTTTTAATTTACCAATGTTAATCTCTTCGCCTTCTCTACTCTAACCCAATTTCAGTGAACTGAGCAGGATGAAGGGAGTTAGTAAGGCTAGATAAAGCACTGTGGTGGGATGTGTGGAGCTCCACTCTGGAGAAGGATGATAGAAGAAGAGGAAGGGAAAATGGGGATGGAAGGGGGAGAAGAGCTCATTGGATGAAGAAATCCCTGCCCTCTTCCTTGTCATCAGTTGTTGGTTCTATGCTAGGTGTTAGGCAAGGCAAATAATATGGGAGCCCCAAGTCTGGCCATTTACAACTTTAAAAAGGCATTTTGTGGAATAACAAAAAATGTCTTGGAAATTGTTCTAAAGCTCACAGATTCTTTCTGTTTTGTCTGAGGGGCAGGGCAGTTTGGGTAGTGGAAGTAGTTGGCCCTGGTCGTTTTCTTGGTTTGGGCTGTATCATTTTTTCCTTCCGCTTTGGGATGCTCATCATTTGTGATGAGATAGCATACCTCAGAAGTTCTGTGAGCTAGAACTGCTGCCCTGCCTCTTTTCCACAGGCTGCCTGGGGCTAGGAAATGAAACCTGCCTAACCCCAGATGTCCAGGAGAAAGCCTCTGTGTTCGTGGAGGAGGAAGGGTGGGAGGAACCTGGGCAAGAGGAGAATCCTGAAAAGGGTGAATGTCTAAATCTGCATGGTACCAGTGTGTGTGATTGGCGTCTTTCACCTTTGGGGTATAGAGAAGAGTAAGGGTAACAGAAACCACAGCAGCTCATGGGTAGAAGCCACTTTCTACATTATGTGCCTCTTTTTAGACATGTAGTTTGTTTCATTTCCACCAGTTTTCGCAAGTCTTATATTTTCTTAGGTTTCTTATGTTCCTTACATTCCTGGGACCTACTCTTCTAGGGCCTTCTGTTGATCAGTTCTGTGCCTCAGGATTTATAGTGCTTGACCGTTCCTTTATCAGCAGCTGACATTTACTTGGAGGCTTGAGTTCTGTCTGTCCGTTCTGCATAACTCCCGCAACTTGGCTTGACTCACTGACTCACCCTCATTATCAAAGGGCTTATTTTTACTTTCCCTACTTTGGTTCTTCTTCCCAACATTCCCATTTTAGAGTTTAATAAGCTGTCGTCCTGTAGATTTGTATACATTTATACATTCATGTTTTGCCACATGCTAAAATTTGTTTTGCACCCAGCTGGTGTGCTTGAGTCACCAAGTCACAATGGAAGAGAACAAAGAGGACATCCTTGGCGTGATGCCGCACGGGGGCCTGTTCCTATCCCGTGAATTAACAGTAGTTCACAACGGTCAGTCTCCTCTTTTGTAAGATGCCCAGAAGGTGACTGAAGTACCCAGATTTACTGGTGACTGTTCTGCTCTGAGAAGGATTGAGTGGATGCTGAGGTGCCTCTGAAGAGTGGGGTCACAGGCGTCAGTGGCCCCAGAGGACAAGAATCAGGGCACACTGGCTTATGTGCAAATGCGAATGAGAAACTGAGCTAGAACTAATTCCAGCTGAAGGGTTCTGGTGTAAGGTTCTCCTGACTTTTTGGAGGAGTTCAAGATTTTGGCTTTCAGGTGTTCGCCCCCTCCCTCCAGTCACTCAGATGAGACCCTGGTACACATCCTTCACCTTAGCAGAAGTCACACAAGCATTTATGGCTTGAGATGAAGAACGAGAGTTGGGTCACTTGATCCCCTGCAGAGAATCTGATGAGGGCATCGCATCCACCTCCCTTTGCTGACCCTCTTCTATAAACAGGAACAGAAATTCTTGCTACTGGATCCCTTTCATCAGGCGTCTTAGGCTCCCTGAATGAAAAGCCCTATAAAAAGGAGATGTGGCCCTAATAATAACAAATACGATCCTGATGGCTATTTTGGGCAAGAGCAGCTTTGTGCCGCCCTTGATCTCCATCGGTGTCTGCCATTCCTGCCCTGCCATTACCTTTCAGACTTCCTATTCTTAGAATCCTTTGTGAGCCCTCAGCTTGGGGGATTGCAGCCCCCAAGGCTGGAATGCCTAGCTTGAGAGGAATGCAGACTGTCTGGCAGAGTGGAGGTTAAATAAAGTTTGCCTTGGCAGCCCCCTCTGCTCTTGGATGGGCGACAAGTAACTCGGGTATAGGAGCAATGGCATGGACTGCCATGTGGTGCAGTACCAAACAGAGTAGACATGGTTGATGGTCCGTTCGTTATAGGCGGAGCCCTGCCAGTCTCAGCCCTGCTATGTACTAAAGAGGCCTGGGCAGCCTTGAACCTCAGCTAGTAACCATATCACTCTGAAAACATGCAGGAACAAATAAAGAATGAAAGTGAAAATGCCTTGCAGGAACTGCAGATTTGGTATGTTTGCCCCCTCAGAGTTATTGCCTCATTTATTGAATGTGAGATAAAGGAGGAAATTTTCATTGTCATAAGAACAATTGCTAGTCAGTCAACAAACATTTCTTGAGCACCAAGGCACTGTGGGAAACTTTTTAAAAGTGTAAGACCTAGAATTCTTGTGATGCTTATAATTTAGTTGGAAAAGTAGAGCGGTAAACATATGAGGAAATAATTTATATTCCAAAGTGAAATATGAGTTCCAAACGTGTGCAATAGAACTAAGTGCCAGAGGAGGTCTGAGGGGAGAAAGAGGAGCGCTTCTGGCTAGAATGATCAAGAAGAATTTTGTGGAGGAGGTGGGGCTCAACAGGTCTTGCGAGAATGGCAGACTTCTACTGGAAAGAAGAGGGCCTTGTCAGTGAGAGGACTTTTATGAGCAAAGGACAGATGAAGGGCACTCTCAGAACAGCTCATGGGGACGTGAAGAGCAGCTGGGTATGGACAGGGTGGCAAAGCAGAAGGATTTGTGTAAAATCACCAAACCCTTAACTCTGAAGGCTATGTGTGCACATTGCTGAGAGGACAGTGCTTCCCACCAGAGGATAGTTGGCAAGCTCCAGTCCCGCCCAGAGACAGGGGCCCTTCTAGTGCTCTGTTTTGTGAAACCCCTGATACAACATGGAGCTCCTAGTAGACAGTAAATAACAAATTATTATTATTACTCATCTTCAAATTCTCTGGTCCCAAGTTGTCGAATTGGCTTGATGTCACTTGTGAGAGTTGGCACTCCCTTTGCTTTGCCCTGTTCTGATTGCTCACCTGCCTTGCCACAGTCTTGCCTTCAGATTTATCTGACCTTCTCCTCTCTTCCACCACAGGTGGCTAGAGGTACAGGTGGCTAATCTAACATGTCCACAGCGCTGGGTGCAGTACCTCCGACTTCTTCAGGAGTCCATCTGGCCTGGTGGTATTTTACCGAAGTGTCCACGGCCTGTGAGGACCCAGGAGCAGAAAGTGGCTGCTGAAAAACAGGCCTTGCAGAGCCTCATGGGAATCTTGCCAGGTAATTGGACAATGAGATTGGTTATACTGATAATTATTCCTTTCCCATCCTGCTTTGCCACCATTACCCCACACCCCTCAAAAACCTGGACTCAAAAACCTGTCGACCCACCATTTCTCAGGCTAATAGGTAAATGATCAGAGCTGTGATTCTTTTACCCCTCATTCAAGTGACGCTGAGGGAATGGAAAGGATCCCTATGACCACACCATAAATAGTAGGTGAGAATCCTACAGATACTTGGAGTAATAACAGCTCTGCCTACACCACAGAGGCAGGTCTCAGAACTCTTCCCACCAGAGGAAGATTTCAGGTTCTCTGCCAACTCATGGTATTTGGACCAGGAAGAAAATGATATGTCCCACAGAAGTTCAGCCTTGATAAATTGGGGTCATTGAATAAGGTATATCATCCTTAGCAGTAGATAAAAACAAACTCTGAAGAGCATTTTTTTTTTCTTTACTTTCTATACATTTTTAGAAGGTAGGGAAGGCAGTTTGTTACCTGTGGCTGTGCTGTAGTAATGAGGGTACAGCAGTGAACTGTTAGCTCTTAGGACAACGTTATATACTCTCTGTTTTCTATTGTATTTATTTTTTTATTTAAATTTAACTAATTAACATATAGTGTATTATTAGTTTCAAATGTGGAATTCAGTGAGTCATCAGTTGCATAGAACACCCAGTGCTCATTACATCCCGTGCCCTCCTTAATGCCCATCAGACAGTTGCCCCATCCCCCCACCCCCCAAGCAACTCTCAGTTTGTTTCCTGTGATTAAGAGTCTCTTATGGTTTGTCTCACTCTCTAATTTCGTCTTGTTTTGTTTTTCCCTCCCTTCCCATATGCTCCTCTGTTTAGTTTCTTAAATTCTACATATGAGTGAGATCATATGATAATTGTTTTTTTCTGATTGGCTTATTTCACTTAGCATAATACCCTCTAGTTCCTTATATACTCTTATCAACCCCCGTTCTCCACCCTAAACTGTTACATCAGATGTACCTGCAGTGACAGGTTACAGAATTATTTCCTCAGGTCCATTCTTATTTAAACACTTAAGAAACATTTTTCTTAGCTTTTCCCTGTTTTAGTTTGGCTATGTGGTTCAGAAGTTTGCCAGAAATACCCAATTTGGACAAAGATAGCAGATACCACAAGATAATCTCCTTAGAATCTAAGGCTTCAGTGGTAACACTGCAACCACATGCTTATTTTTCCTCTTCAGATATTGTGGTAGAAATCCTTGGGGTGAACAGATGCCGGCTGAGCTGGAGTCTCGTCTTGGAGTCACTACGGCAACCCCTCATCAACAGGTAGGCTGAAAGGCATGTACGCAGCATCTCCACAGCTGAAGCTGTCTCTGGTCTCAGAGGTGTCCACGGTTTCTAAGTGAGCAGCGCACACTGAGACGAATGGAACTGCAGTCTTTCTCTGCCCTGGGCCCTGACTGCAGAGTGTGATGCCCGGGTCCGCACACACGAAGGAAAACCCACACTGCCTGCTTCTGAGCAGGTTCTCATGCAGCAGTGAGCCGGTGTTGGGCCCGCCACTGTTGGCATGTGGAAGAACTCGATGCAGGCCCCCATGTGAGCTACTGAAAACGTCCTGTCACCCTCCAGGCTTATTCAGTGCGCTTAACACTTCTTTCAACATGTGCCAGCCCCTGTGAACACTGTATACCACTGTGTATACCTGGCCTGTATACCACAGGCTGGATAATGATTTTCAGCTCAACATTCAAGGCCTCACAGCAAAGCTGATTTAGCGTTAGAATCAGGAATTGTCTTTGTTTAATAGGAAGGACACAAGATAATGAGGTTGAGCTCTGATAAAAGGACTGGAAATAACTGAGTGAACACCACTAGAATAATCCAGAGGAAGTAGGTATTTCCCTGGCTGGTACCTTGGGATACAGTGCTTCTGAAAAGTATTCAGGACTTGCAGTCCTTTCTCAAACCCTGTCCCGAAGCAGACTGTATCTATTCACCATCACTACCCAAGGGTGCTGGCTTTTGCTTCACTGCCTGTCACCTGTGGATCTGTGATGATTAATTACGAGAAACAGCCATAGTCAGAAGCTCTGAAAATTCTTAGTAAGTTGATATCACAGGGATTTTTTCCCTCCCTCACAGTTCTTCAGGGCAGTGCTGATGTGCTAAGGTAGCTATATAAATAAATGTAGAATTTCCTAAAATCTAGTCTCAAGTTCTATTTGCACCTTTATTGGGGTCATAACCTTTAGTCACCAAACTTTTATTTCATGGCAGAGCCTTCATCTGGCTACTGAAATTTAGAGTTCACTAAGGATATCAGTAATGGGCAAGGAGGGGAAGGGAAAATAAATGTCATAAACAGGATCTGGTGTCTGTTGACTAAGCCAGACCCTCCTCTAAGTTGTTTTGTCCATTTGTTTCAGGCACTTGATTTACTGCCTTTGGGACATCATCCTGGAATTCTTGGATCTCAGTGCCTCCGTTGAGGAGTCTGCCGTAACCACCTCTGCCTCAGATACCCCAGGCAACCCCAAGAGAATGGGTGTCTCCCCTTAGCCATAGGTTATTCACCCATTCTTTGAAGGCTGGGAAAGGAGAGTTGCTCTGCCACCCTGCGACCAGTCAGGAACCTGTGCCCTCTGCAGCTGAACTGTAGCTCAGAAGACCTCGGGTCCCAGGGGCACAGTTCTCCCCCAGCTCTACTCCACAGAGCAGGCGACCTAGCAGATGATGGGGGAAATATGTACCAATCATATGCATATCCATTTCCATACTTTTTCTGTGGTGTTTGGATTGTTGCTGGTGGGTAGATCCTGGAAAAGGAATCTGTAAGGTAGAAGAATGAGCCCCTTTTGCCTCTCCTTTGCCCTCCTCCCTAAGATTGTTTGCCAGGAGCCTGGTCCTGTGCATACATGTTCCTAATCCTCCAACACACAAGCTGTAGATAGACCAAGTGAAAACTGATAGCCAGATCTCTTGGAGGAGCAGACAATTTTCTAGAGCTCTCTGTTCCCACCAGGAAACTGCAGATTCATTCAGGACCACTCTTGAAAGCCAGACCCCCCACGTTCTGTCTAGTTTCCCAACAATTCCAGAAGAAGGAAGGAAAACATTTCTCAAGGGACTTTTTGTTGATTGACTATTTTCCAACACATCAGCCCTATGGAGGATGTCACTGAAGGCTGCTTCCCTGGGTGGCTACACTTTTTCTGTGCAGAAGACTTCAAAGCAGATTGCCAAAGCTTCTTGGTAGATCCACCCCACTCTCCACACCCTTTCCTGAAAGAGAGTTGCATCACAGATTTTATTTATTCGCTTTCCTCCTAACCCTTCTCCAAGAGCAGTTGAGTTTGGGTCTTTATGACCTTCCCTCTATCTCCCTTCAGAATCGCATGGCGGATTGCTTATTCAGCCCAGTGCTTCCAAAGGGAATGGAGACGCTTGCTCCGTGGCTGGGAATGCCCAAAGAGTAGGAAACCCAGGGGGCTGTGGGGCTTCTCTCTTCACAAGTCTCCAGCAGGGGACTTTTAAACTGAACCAATAATATTAGCAAACCTGCAGGGAATTGATTACCCACAAAAAGCTTTTTACTTCCTGTTCTTTAAGGATCTAATGAGTCTTTAAGAACACTTGAAGATGAAGGCGAAGGTGCTATATCAGGCTGTAGTGTCTTAGAAGAATAGAACAATTAGGAGAACTTGTTGGTAGGAAAGGAGGCAGACAGTGTTGACAAGGGAAGTCCTATACATTAAATGCATGTGAGTAGCTGACAGAAAAGGTTTAAGGAGGTCATGGGAGACCCTTGCCTTGTGCCCCTCATCCCGTTAGCTTTGCACCTGCCTATTAGTGCCCTTCTGTCACTGAATTATGGATCCTCCCATTTGAAGGGGGATCTTGGACTTAGACTGGACTTAGACTGATGAGCATGGGATGGGTCTAGAATGGGCATCAGGTTCTCAGACTCTGATGTAGATGATGTGCACACAAAGTGGTTTATGGGAGAAAGTTGTGCAGTCTTACACTTTTTATACTCCTCTGGAGGCTTTTACCCATAAAATGTGTTATGCTATGATTGGAAGGCTTTAGGTAGGCGATTACTGCCTAAGGACAAGATGAATGAGATCATGTCTCATGGTACCTTCTAGCCTTAAAATATGATTTTTACAGCGACTTTATGGCTTCAGAGCTTCTCCCACCCCGGACATTCACAGGCAGAAGGAGCGCAGCATTTCTAGCTTTAGTAAGTATTTGCAGGAGTGTGGGACTGCAGGGAATCCAGCCTCACTTACTGAAGCCGATCCTTCACCTTTTTCAGCTCGGGCCAGGATGCTCTTCAGGATAGATGCAGTAGCCAGCTCATTTCCACTACCCTTCTCTTCTGATACTTTACCCTCATATGTACTTAGCCACCTACATTGCTTTGAATCTCTGCTATTAGGGCTCAGATGTCACACAGAGCCAGTACGTAAACTGACGCACCATAAAATCCCCGTGGCTATAAATTCTGAGCAATTTTTTGACACTTCCAACCCAAAGAAAACTTCTTATATTTCATGTTGCATAAGAGATGCCACCTCTGTGGTCTGTGCCCCAAAACATAATCTGTCCTCAGGCCTTCCTCCTGTCTAGAAGGGAAATCATGGATATCACCAAGGAAATAGTCAAGTTTGGGTAGCAGGCACAGACAACAAGGGAGATCAGCACTTGGGAGAGAGCCACAGGTATTAAGAAAAGATGCTCCCAGCTGAGAAGTGATAAAAGGCAATGAAGAATAGGGCCTGCACTAACCCAGAATGTTCGTGATTTTTCTTTGGCCCTACCCAGCACATTCATTTCCAGTTGCTACTCTTTTCTTTGTTTATAGCACCCAACAACAGTTGTTAGGTCCTAGGTGGAGTAAAAATATGTGTATATGGTTATATGAGTCAGGATGCTTTGGACTGAAGGAAAACTCAAAGGGAATTTTGTTTTCTTCCAAAAATGAGTACCTGAGTAGGTAAGCCCCAGGGGCGGATGGATTCAGCAACTCCGACCTCATAAAGGGCCCAGATTCTTCCCATCTTTCCCCTCTGCTGTTGTAAACATGCTTGTGTAAACATGCTTGTCCGGTTCTCAGACTGCCTACCTGGTTGCTGCAGTTCGGAGCATCACATTCATATGTAACAGTATGAAAGAACAGAGTCATCTCTTCCATGTTTTCTTTTAAAGAATGAGGAAACCTTTTTCCAGAAACCCTTCAAGAATGCTCTTCTCATGACTCATTGGCCAGAACTGTGCATCCCTAAGCCAATCTATTGAAAATGGCATTACCTGGTTGGCTTGCACTAGTATTTACCCCCTTCCCCCACAGAGAGGAGGTCACGCTCCAGGAAAGTTAGATACCTAAAAAAATTAGATGTTAGCAAGGAAGAAGCAGAGGATGGGTGTTAATAGACAATGTCTGTTACATCATCTGTACAACATCAACAGATCCCCCATGGTACTCTAAAAATACCTGGAATCGGCTAAGAACATTTGCTGAAGGCACCACATGAAGCACTTCACCTGGAGTAACTCATTTAACCCATACACAGCCCTGTAAGGTAGGTTCTATTATCTATCCCCATTTCATAGATGAGGAACACAAGGCACAGAGAGATTGTGAGTTGCCCACAGTCACTTGCAAAGAAATGGCAGAGCCTGGATACAAATCTTGCCAGTCTACCCTCAAGCCTACATGCATAATAACCATTATACTAGTCTGTGTTTCTTCTCAGAATAAGATCAGGTTCTCATTTTTAAGGAGCTCACGATCTAGTGCAGAAGTTCGCAGACTTTTTTGGTAAAGGGGCAGAGAATAAATAGTCCAGGCTTGGCCATATGGTGGTGGTCTCTGTTGCAACTCAGCTCTTCCATTGTAGCATGAAAGCAGTCATAGACAATACATAGATCAATGACTGTGGCTGTGTTCCAACAAAACTGTGTTTGCAGAAACCGGCAGCTGACCAGATTTAGCCCATGAGTTGTTTGCAGGCCTCTTTCTAAGGAGTTAGAACAGTGCTTTTCAAACTTTAGTGTACATGTGATTTACCTGGGACCGTGGTAAAGTATATGCTGCATTTCTAACAAGCTCCCAGATGTATGCCAATGAGAATACAGATCTTCAACCACACCTTGAGTATCAAGGGGTTAAAACATAGACAACTCTCAAGTGTGATTAATACACTATTAAATATATAGGAAGGGCACTTCATTGAGAGTAGAGGGCCATGGAAAGCCTGAGGTGATAATATGTGAATTGACTCCTGGAAGATTCATGAGAATTAACCAGTAAAAACATGGGGAGGGTGTCCAGAGAAACAGTGAACAATGTGTGCAAAGACAGAGTCGCCACAGAAAGACAAATACTGTATGATTCCACATATCTGAAGTACCTAGCATGGTCAACCTCACAGAAACAGTAGAAATGTGGTTGTTGGGAATTAGGGGAATGGGGAGCATGTAATGGGTACCGAGTTTTCAATTTTGCCAAATGAAAACAGATTCCTGTTTTATCAACCGTGTAAGTAGACGTGACACTCCAGAGCTGTACACTGAAAATAGTTAAGATGGCGAATTGTAGATTCTGTTTATTGTACTACAATCAAGACATGTAAAATGAATAAAAGCTGTGGAGAACTACAAGGCACAGGCTGCAGGGAAGGAGGGGCAAGGGCCGGGAGAGGGGCCTGTCTGGGGCGGCGTGCTAAGGAAGCTGGCACTGTTCTTCCTCTCCGCAGTGGGGAATTGTTGAGGAACCTTCCTGAAGAGTATTTTTCATTGAAGTTAACAGTGCCTGCTTATGGGAAACATGGGAGTTCGATTGCACATGTAAACAGCCGTTGGATTTGACACCTGTCTCAGTCACTTTCTGATCCCCCCCACCTTAATTTCTTCAAGTCTGTTCCCATTGTTTCTTAAATATGAGATGGCTTCAGCGTCTATAGAGTATAATGAGCTGGAAGCAATAACAGCCTGATTGAAACCCTAGTTCTGCCACTTAATCAGCTGTGAGGAAGTGGTCAGGTAACTTAGCTTCATTGGGACTTAACATTTCTCTCTTAGAAAAAGGGACAAATATATTACGACCGTTTTGAGAAGTGAATCGTAAGAACAAGCTTTATAAAATAGCAAGTGCTATGCTATAAAAATGTCCATGGCAGCATTCTCCTGCCGTTCTGGAGATGCCTTGCTTCAGGAACCATGCAGCTGAGCTGTCCTCTGGCGAGCCCCGGTTGCCCAGCCCTCTCAGAACCTGCTGTTTGTCTTGGTCTTCCTTTGCACTGGAGCAATATGTGTTCTCCCAGGAGGAGGAAAGGAAGGTTGCCAACCCTGCTGGATACAGGTGGGAATGCGAACCAACCAGGGGAGGAAAGGAAACCATGATGCTCTTGTAGCCCAAGGCCCGACTGGGCGAGCTCTTCCCTAACTTGGCATCTCCGTTTCCTTTCCACCGAGAGCGCCAGAACTCACTGGGCAGTAGCTGCCTGCACTGGGTCTGTGGGCAGGAGAGGGAAACCGCTGCAGGGTGCACTTCCGCTCACAAGCCTCCATCACTCCTCTGTGGCGTAAGGCACGAGAGCGGCTGCTTCGCACAGAACCGTTTCTCAGAAAAGAGCCAGTGAGGGGAGACCACCGAGTCACTTCCGTGTCCTGACTCGCCCGGTATTTCTTACACAAGGACGTCCCTGGCTCGTTTTAAAAAGAAAGACAAAACCCCAGAAGAATGGGTCAAGCAAGTGAAAATCATCAGAGCCCGTTGCCTGCTGTGACCCAACAGCAACAGGGTTTGAAGCCAAGGCAGCACTGAAGTGGTGGAGGAAATGTGGGCACCACAGCCTCCTGGGCAGATACGCTGTGCAATTCTCAGACTTGCTGAGCCTTCTTGCCGCCTCCCTACACCTCTCACCTGTCTCTGGCCTGAAAGTACATTTGAACTCTGCTTTCTTGGAAGCGCAAACAAGCATGTGACAGAATCCCGAGAACTCCTGTCTCTGATGTCTCTTCCACATGACAAAAGCTGGTTTCTCTCCACATCTTGACTCTTCAAACCTCACCTACAAGTGCTTCAGTAGAAGTCACCACCACCCTGTTGCTGAGATGTGGAAGTTTGGGAGGGAAAAAAAAAAATGAAAGGGGAAAAAATAATAGTATCAAAATCCAAACTTAGAAAACATTTCTTGAAGTGACATTATCTACTCCTTTCAACTCAAAATAGGCCACTTTGTCCCCAGAGTTTTGTTTAGGAAATGCAAGCTAATTTTAATATTAGGGTGTTGTAATGATTAAGAAGGTTAAGTCTGTGTCCTATATCTAAATCCATACTTTGGCTCCTCTCCCCGCCCCCCGCCCCCGCCGGTCACTGTTGCAGCCTGTTACAAGCAGTGGAGAGCTGGCTATAATTACTTTCAGACACTTGGCGTTAATCAATGAGGGAAAAGGCCAAGTTAGATAAACCGAAAGTCTGTGACTGCAGAGAAAGGCTCTAGTATGTCTGCAGAAGCCGAGACTTCGCTGTTCTGGGTTGAATTGGATTTAGTGACCTTCAGGCTCAGGTCATCGGCCCTTCGCCTGTGCTCCTTAGAGAATCATCCTGCCCCAGTAGCAATGGAAAGATTAACAAAGATTTAGCAAAATATCTGCATTTCGTATCTTGCCTTTAGGGAGGATTGACCTTACTAAGAAAAAAAAAAAAAGCCCTTTTGGAGTTTACATTCTTTACCTGTACTAACATGGAATCCAAATTCAAAGAATGGCAAGCCAGTTCCTTTCCAGTTTTGTGTCCTTGTGTCAAAAGTTTGCCTGTAAATGCAAATAATTCAAGAATGCTGAGGGCACCTTTCATTAAGCCTTCCTGTGTCTCAGGGAGAGTCACGTAGGCTTGGTGGGCAGTAGGACTTTTGCTGGGAGACAGAATGTGTTATGGAGATGGTTTTGCAGGAGGTTGGATGAGATGGTTTCCCTGAAATCTAGGGGCCTGCGTCCTGCTCTTTCCTACTTCTTTCCTTTGACCCATGTTCTTCCAGCTGTGCACACGTGGGCACCCTCTGTCAGGGCCAGTTCAAGTTTCACTGTCTCCATGGAGCTTTATCTGACCATGCCAGCCAAAATTCTCTCTCCTTCCTCTGTGTGACTTTACACTGCCTGTCAATGTGATCAAAATCCATGTGCATTTTATGGGGTCCTCAGTAAGAGATTCCAATTCTTCAAGGGCAAGGAACATACAATCTCTTTTATTCCCATTATAACCCTAGTCCTCAACCTTCCCATAGACACACCTAATGCATAATGCATAGTAGGTACAAATAAATGCTGAAGTTCACTTAGTTAAAGGAGATTATGCTTATTAACTTTTAGAAGGTAAAATATGTTAATAAATTCAATGAATTTACTGGGGGCAGAAGATGTGTGAGAGGGACAAGGGGAAAGCACATTTTCGCTTTTCTGACCTTATATCTGTTCAGCAGCAAATACCAAATGAAAGAAGTTGGTTTTTATATTTCCTGTGCCAAAATCCACACCATTTTATAACAGTACTGTTTGCAGTCTAAGTATGTGGGCCGTGAGGTGCTAAAACTAAGCTTTTTAAAGAAAATTAGTCCCGATTTGAAGATTTTTTTTTTTTTTAATTCTCCAGTCACAAAAATACACAACATACCCTGTCTACTCTCTACTCCTCACCTTTACCTACTGGATCAGAAAACAAAACAAAAATCTTTGGGAAATTTTATCAACTCTTTCCTGCCCCAGACACAAATTTGTAAGAAAGCAATTACCATGAAGAGAAAGGCTTGCTTGCTATCCAAATTCTTTAAAATTATCTTGGAAATCCTTTGGTCCCAGATTTAAGATTCTTTATTTCAGACCTTCTCTAACAGCTTATCTAAGCCATGTCCAAGATCCCACAAGCAAAACTCTTCAAACACAAAGGAATAACCTTGAAGAAAAGAAAGGACAGCAGAAATTCCCCCTCGCTCTTAAAGGTGTTTGCTGTCTTCCCCACATTTCCTACAACTCTTTGCCCAAACACAACAGATCAAAACTAGGCAGCTGCCATAAGAATGAAAACTAATGAACACATCTGGATTCGCTGCAGGTCAACATGTTGGCCCCGGGGGGATAAAATCACGTGCTATTTTGGAGCTCCAGAACGAGCCCCCGGGCCATGATTTGAAAGAGGGCAACAGCAGGTAAAGGAGCACAGGAGGAAGTTCAGTCTGAGAACTAAACCAATGATGCATTTCATGAAAAGGAGGAAACTCTAGACAATATAGTGCTTGGGTCATATATTATCTTAGAGTAGGTCTGCTGTGAAGGATCCCATCTGCTGTGGAATGAAGTCCATCCTGGTGCCAGTGAACATTTGCACAACACATGATGTGGAATAGTCTCTGGAGCCAAGATTGGTTCCGTATCCACCCCAGGGCAGGTTGGTCAGTCTCCAGTGTAAACCTCCTTGGGATTAACCACTTATTCCAGTGTTGTGCACTGGCTAATTAATACCAGACCTGTTCCAGAAAGCTTTGTACATCTTGCATATGGATGAAGATCCAAAAAGTTTTTTTGGTGATCTGTTTGGATGGGTTAGAGAAAGATGAAGCAGAAGTCATCCCCATGTACAGGTGGGTTACCTTGCAGATGGGGGCTTGTGGGGGGCAAATGACATTTACCAGGCAGAAGCTTGCCTGGACAGGTAAGAGGGGAGAAAAGGGTGCATGTGTGGATGTAGAAGTAACATCTGTGGTCTTAAGGCTTGAAGAGCAGGGCAATGCAACTTTTAGCAGTCTGAAGAGGATTGAGGCAAGAGCTTGTGTTTCAGCGAGGTTTTGGATATGGAAGAATGCCCACTGTTGGGGTGGAATGACCTGACTTCTTTACAAGATTAGGGTTTCTGTGGATTTTTCCCAAGTGATAGAAATTTTTCTCTTCTAGTCTCGTTGATAGCAGGCAGTGTTGGACCAATAGTTTGCCTAAACCAATTCCTTCTTTTTCTTTTTTTTTTCCAATTCCTCAATTCCTTCTCTATTATTTCTGAAATCCCACCTTTTTAAAAAATTTATTTAAGAGAAAGAGAGCAGCATGAGTGGAGGGGAGGGGCAGAGGGACAGGGAGAAGCAGACTCCCCACTGAGCAGGGAGCCCGACATGGGGCTTGATCCCCAGATCCTGGATTGATGACCTGAGCCGAAGGCAGACGGTTAACCAACTGAGCCACCCAGGTGCTCCTCTGAAACCCTTTCCTTAAACACTAAGTAAATAAGAAAAAAAAAAAAAACTTTTCAAAAAACTGCATATTTCTGGGTCTTTTCTCTTTTTTTTGTGTGCAGCACCAATACTGCTTTTCTTCATCCTTAAATTTTTCTCCTGTATCAGTTTACGAATGTTCATGCGTTGGCTTGGCTTCCCCACTAGTCTAATTGTCTTTTTGATAAATTAATATGGACAGTAACTTAAGGTTACATGTAAATCTTAAACATGATATTTCTTGTACTTGACTCATATTTGATATTCTCTGAGGAAGACTGCCCTTACTGTCCCCTCCTGTGAAATCGGAATAATCACCAATCCTAAGATTAAACATTTTGATAAATTCTTTCCATGTCCCAAGCTATTCACACAATGTTATAGACTAAATGTTGTGTCTGT